CAACGTAGCCTTTTCGTAATGCCAATTAATTTACCCCTCGTCCGATGTTGTTCGCGATAGAGCCGAGTGTTTTGTTATGAATTTATTCAGCCCCCCAATTAGCGAAGGCACGTGTATGGCCGAGATAGCTCAGTTGTTAAAGCAGTGTCCGAGCGCTCGCTTTAATACTCTCCAGCAAGTGGAGTTCAAATCTCGGTACCTATGAAATCGATAATTTTATGTGCCGACATATCACTTGCTCTCTGCTGAAGTAGAACAATTAAAGGCGCTGACAGCATGCAATATTATGGGCTAATAAAGTACAACTAAAAAAGGTGTTTCTTCCGAAATCAAAAAGTACAGCAAAAATTAATAAATATAAAAAAAATTGAGAAAGAAAATAACAGTAAAAAAATCAATGCAATTAATTTAAGTATGTTTCTACAACATACGGAACTAGATGGACTAATAATAATAACTTTTACTATTACTACTGTTAAAAATTATTGGGCAGTCTCCATCAAGTGATATATACCCATTTTGAAGTGTCTCAAACTATTTCTTATAGATAGTAACTGTTTCTTATAAGCTAAGCCGTCTACGCCGCTAAGTCGTCTACGCCGTAGACGCTACGAACAGAGACAATATTAATCTGACAAATATTAATCACCAAGTGAAAACATTACTGTACATTACTTAGGACTGTTTATAGACACACACACTATACACCATTTCATATTTATTATTCGTTACATATTATTATAGTGTTGTTATGATAGACATTTATAAGGTTTATTCCTGCCAAATTTACGTACAAACTAATATCTCCATTTAACCAGTATTTTAGCTTATATAAATCATGACAATATTTTTTACATTTTTCACCCAAAAGCAAAATCTCTTTAATTTTTTAAGTCCATTTTCTTAAACAATTTTAACTATGTATTATTCACGACAATACTACTGATTGTGAGTTTAACTATAAAAGATTTGATATTTTTAATTATTGTCCCCCTTTTAATAGCAATTTAAAAAAAACAATGCCTTTACTTTAGGATACTCGTAACATTATCCTGTGTTGTAAGGACGTTTTGCAAACACAAATTTCATGTGGACAAACACCCGGATGCGAAACAACTATACGTGGGTCACGCAAATAGTTCTCATATTTAAAATATGTCATTACATTTAAATACAATATTTAAACCGTACATTTATCGTATAAAAACCAACCGGGGTCTTTAATTAAATATGAAGAGAATGTTTACATTTAAATAGCGCAACCTACATGTCCGTAAAACCAACCTTAATTACAACACTGCGATGTGAGGCCAACGCATTTCTGATTACAGGCTTCAGGATTTACACACCGTGAATTTTAACTTTTATTGCGGACTAGCTCCAGATGTCACTCATTCGGGATAAACGGCCTTATTGTAGGTTAACATAGTCCGTTTTGCAAGGACGCTTTATACACGGGAATTACTCATGGACAAGCCCATTAGGTCTCACAAGCTTAATGAGTGACCCAAAAATTTGTCCTGTGCTGGAATCGAACCCACGAATTTCGGCGCCGAAACCAACAGTTAGCTAACGCGCTAAATGCGCCATCAAGCCTTTTTTACAATTCAGGCTAGCTCAGCAGCGCGTACGGGTTTTAAAATCTACAACCGCTTTGGAAATTATTTTATTTCCAGAGAATTATGGGCCAGAAACCCTGCAGTCAAAATGTAGAACAGTATCATCACCATTAAGGCTTGTATCAGTCCACTGTTGAACGTAGGACCCCACAGACCACTAAGCGCGATCCTGAGCCACCTGCATCGATCGACTTCACGCACAATTGTATAGATAGTCACTACATGTAGGGAGGGATCGTCCTATACTACGGCCAATGGCCAGCACGAGTCTGTCTTTCCAGAACCTTTCTTGCCCATCCGTTGGTTCTTCGAGCTATATTGCCAGCCCACTGCCACGTCAGCTCGCTAAGCTCTGATCTATGTCGGTTACCTTCGTTCTACTACATACGGTACATTCAACAACAGAAAAGTATTAGTAACCAATGCTATTAGTAGTTTTCCGCAATACATTCACCCGCAATTCGTACTTCAGTTTAATATTCGTGAACATAATTATACGACAAAAAGAACGGTTACGTTTCTGCGATGTTGAGATAAACAACTCCTATAAACGTGGCGTCAACTGAACACACATAAATCAAGCCAACACAAAAGGGCCTCAAAAAGAGTATGTTAACGGATAAAAACACGCGAGAACGCAGTTCAGTAAGCAAATGTAGCGCGTCCGACCTTTGGACGCGAAATTAATTTTACGGGTGCACGGGTTTAGAGGCGGCCAGGAACAAAGGGCGGCGTTATTCAAAACCGCCATATTAAATATCTATTCTGCGATAAAGCGGACACTCGATTATTTATCGGTCGGATAACAGATACTTGGCTCTACGCGTGAGTCACTATGAGTGCTTATGGTTAAAAGGTTTCATTTTGGAACCTTTGCATGTAGTACCTATTACGCAGTCACTATGAGTGCATGCTTAAAAGAAAAAAACCTTTGCATGTAGTACCTATTACGCAGTCACTATGAGTGCATGCTTAAAAGAAAAAAACCTTTGCATGTAGTACCTATTACGCAGTCACTATGAGTGCATGCTTAAAAGAAAAAAGAACCTTTACATGTAGTACCTATTACGCAGAGTGACTATGAGTGCATGCTTAAAAGAAAAAAAAACCTTTGCATGTAGTACCTATTATGCAGAGTCACTATGAGTGCATGCTTAAAAGAAAAAAGAACCTTTGCATGAAGTACCTATTATGCAGAGTCACTATGAGTGCATGCTTAAAAAGAACCTTTGCATGTAGTACCTATTATGTAATTGTCGCATCACGTCACCTGTCACGTTTGGGACGTCGAAGATGTGAGCTTATTTCTCCCTCTTGTTCCTCCTCAAAATCAAAAGTCAAAATCAAAATCATTTATCCATCGACTTAAGAAATATACATTAAATCTATCGATGGTAATTTTTTTTTAAATCTACCACCGTTTCGTAATGTTCCTCTAACGGAGAAGAAATATGTTCTTTTCAATTTTGTTACAGTTTGATAACAGGAAGTGCGTTCGATTCCCATTATTGGTCCTTTCTGCAGTTGATGATTTTGATATAAAAGTGTTTTATATATTTGATCGCGTTTTTTCATGTGATAAGTTGTCAAGCGACCAGGCGGTTCACCTGATGTTAAGTGATTCCCGCTGCACACGGATCTTTGCAACACCGGAGGGCTTGCGGATGCGTTGACAGCCCTTAAACAATTGGGTCCCGGTTACCTCTTTCAGCAGACGAAGCGCAAAAGTTTTTTTTTGTATGCGAAAAGTTGTCAAACGAGCAGACGGTTCACCTGATGTTAAGTGAATACCGCCGCCCTCACCCGAGGGTTCTGCCACAGGGACATCTGCCACACCCGAGGGTTACAGATGCGTTGACAACCTTTTGAAAATTGGGCTCCGGCTACCTCACTCACCAGAAGAAACGCGAAAGTATTTGTCATACTTCCACTTTACGCTGGTCTTCTGTGAGGTCGTGGTACTTACCCGGACGGGCCTGCCCATTCGTGCAACAGCCGAGGCTGCTACGTGGCCCTACCACCGTGAAGTATTATTCTTCACACAGTTTCTGTGAGGCCATGGTACTAATGAACACGTTACGTCACTGAAAGCCTGCCATTTGCAATCCTACCTAACAGAAAAAAAAACGGGCAAATGCGTATCGGACTCGCGTACGAAGGGTTCTATGCCATTATCTATAAAAACAGTTTGTTTTATAGCGTACATTTGTTGTTATAGCGGCAACAGAAATACATCATGTCTTGTGTGAAAATGTCAACTGTCTAACTAAGAGTATTACGGCTCAAGGGCCTGGTGGCACACGAACAGGCAGAAAGCGGAGTCTTAGTAATAGGGTCCCGTTTTACCCTTTGGGTACGGAACCATAAAAGGCCTTAAAACTTCTTTTACTTCCGTACAGATACGAAATACGTCTCAATGGGTGTTTTTCGAGAGATTTGATTTTCCTTTTCGACAAACTTTCTATTTCTGATATAATTGTATGGAAATTCTCAGAGAACATCTATAACAATACTGTCTCGTTAGTATTCTTCCAAAGCTAAAGAAATGTCACCTTGACATTAACAATAAAAGGTACGAATTTGTTTGACTTGAAATAAAAAGCAGTGGGCGATTGTAAAGCGGAGCGCTATAGTATTCTGTTTTTGCGAATATGACGCAAAACCATAGTATGAAGATGATAACAGAATCGATTGTGAATCGACATGGACATGATAATAGATTTTATCTAAACCGACATGAAAATATGTCACAAAATGAGAACACTAAAAGACAAATAAAACAATTAAATTTATTGCAATAAAAAACAAGAATATTTTATTTGCTTCTACTTGTCCTCAGAGACTTACTATTTGTTGAGTAGGGATTTTAGTAGTAGCAGTAACTAACTTTAGGGGAGTAAATTATAAATAAAAATACCACCTATTTAACTACATTTTATGTTTATTTAAAAAAAAAAGAGATTATAACACAAAGTTTAATCCGATGATAAACATTTACCCTCAATGAATTCAGCAATAATAAGGTTACGAGGTTCGTTGCAAAATTACGAAAAGTTTCATAAATACAGAAACAAAAATAACATCCTAAAGTGAAAGATATATTACCAGTTCATTACAAATGTTTAAACAAGGGATAATTAATAAAATTGTGGAAACCGAAATAAGAGTGACCAGTGCCGTAAGTTCCAACCCTGTGTAAATTCTTAAAGTCGCGTCTGATAACATGATATGAAATAAGATCCAAGAGACAATTGTTTTTTAAACATAGTTTGTGTCAATGGCGGTAGAGATTAAGAATTATAAAATGTTGTTTTTGATGTACCTTTTGATGAATGCATTCCATACTACTATTTCACTTTACCCAATTTTTGTTTGTTCCAGGACTAACAATGATCGACCCAAGCTCATCCGAGGAAGACAGTGAGGATGAACACAAGAAGCAGCCGGCGAAGTTGCCCGGTAAGTCGACATTTACACAGCAACAGAAATGTTTTTTTTTTATGTGAGAAGGCGGCAAACGAGCTGGCGGTTCACCTGATCTTAAATGACAACCGCCGCCCATTGACATTTGCAAGACCCGTAGGAAACTAACAAAACTTATTGTAAGCCACTATACACTGTACCATTGGCAAGTGAATATTGTTCAAAGGAGGTCAGAAGGATGTATCTATAGATAAGGTGAAACCAAAGAGTAATATGATTATAATAAAGTAAATAAAGAGAAGAAAAAGAAAAAGCCATTTAATAATTTATGAAATAAACTTTGCATATTCAAACCCAATTATGAATAAATAAATGGCTTTGCAAATTGCCCGTAACACGTTTCTCCATCACTCGAAATTGCCGCCATGAAATCTAAAATGGCGACAAGGTAATTGGTATATACACGTTACTTGCTGTCATTACGCGCAGACATGGTAAAATTAAACCACGGCTTCAGTCTGTTGTATTCTTATCATCATTATTTTTTATACGTTATTATAATACATACACTTATCTTTTAAACTTATTTTTGTTAAGTTTAATAACATTTATATGATTTAAATTGTGAGTTAGTTTCTCTGTCACTACTACGGAACTAAAACAAAAACATATATAAAAATAACTCTCATGATAATTTTAGTTATTAATAAAAATATTTCTTTTTACTACAAACACCCCGCTCATGAGCCTGTTCCAAACAGTTTTTACCCGTTTCAACAATGCTTTCTACAAATATTTTAACCTAAAAATAGATAGAGCTCTTTATAAATGTATGATTACCATACAATCTATTTTTCGAATAGAGCCCTTTTACTAACTTATTATAATTCGAGGCAGTCTGTGAGGCAGGCCTATGTTCAGTGGACTAAAACAGGTTGAAATATTAATTAGGATTATGACTCTTCTTAACTCTATACGAGATTTAGAGCAGTAATAAATTGAATGTGTGGGCTTGTAAGCTCCCTAACCTTTCGGTTCAATACGGCTTGGAATTTCACTTTCCAACTACACTCTTTTACAATTTTTTACATAAAGTAAGTATCAGTATATGTATTTACGTAAATAAATGCGTGTTATTTATGTAATCATCATAATCATCATCGCATCAGCCTGTTTGAGTCCACTGCTGAACATAGGCCACCCCGTGTTGTGTTCCCCTACCGGAAACGGGATCGCGGGTGACTGGGCCTCTATAGGTCAGTACAGCGAACCTAAGAGCGACAATGGCTTTAGTAGGTTTAAGCTATAGTGGTTGCACCACAGGGGTGGGCGAAGTTATGTTAACGAGACGAAGCTATTCAAGCCAAGCCAAGGGGGGCCGCGGTAGTGTTCCAAACGGAGATCCCAGGTATCCATAACGGATTTCCCCACGTAAAAAAAGGCTACCCCACAGACTGCCACGAAGCACGAACCTGAGCCACCTGAATACATCTACTTCCCGCACACTTGCACAGGACGTCACTCCATCTAGTGGGGGGGCCACTAGAGAACCTTTCTTCCCCAACGGTGATCAGTTCAACGAGCTATATGACCGGCCCTTCGCCACTTCAGCATACTAACCTTCTAAGCTATGTAGTTAAGCTTTACTTAACCCTATCACGCACAGAAATAGCAAGCATAGCCCGCTCCATAGCTACGTAATCATATAAAAGTAAATTTGTACTAGCTCCAAATGATATGTGTTCGACGGAATATCATGATGGAGAATAAGATAAAAATAAAGAGCAAGAGATGGCCATGATAGATGCATAAATAAGAGGTATAAAGTTTTAATGTATATAAAAGTACATCATACTTTGTTTTCATCTATTTTTTTATCGGTCCATATTACATTTTTTAAAAACGTTTAGGCACGCTCCATCTAGGGAGGCGTCGTCCTACATTCAATACTAGAGACTACCGCTCAAAACGCTTTCTTTGCCTATCGGTAATAGGTTCTTCGAACTACCATTTAATTGTTTATAGCGAAACAAGTCTGACTTCGCCTATACTACATTTTCCGTATGTAAAAACCTTTTTACACCCCTTTCAACCTTCTTGATAGTTATTGAAGTTAGTTCTCAAAATGGTTGAAAGTTCTGTGCGGAAAGTTTGAAGTTGTTTTTCTTCGAATGTGAACAAGATTTTTCCACTAAAAGCGAAACTACACTTAGTCGGATAATTCGAAATAAAAATTATTAATAGTTGGACATCTAGAAGTCCTCAACACATTTCATCTATAGTAGTATATCTATAGTAATTATTATTTTATCGTAATTTTTTATTATATCTGTTTTATCCATAGTAATAATTAAACGCGTTTCTTTCTTCTTTCTAATTCTATATTGCATTGAATGATTATTATTAATTTACATCGCCCTGGATCGTGTAATTAGTTGGACGTAAAACTGAATACAAAAGTATCAAGCATTTTGTATAAAATAAGCAGTAGATTAATATACTAACTCATTGCATAAATATTTTCTATTTGTTTAATATGTATCTATCAATTTCTGTATATTATATCTGTTACTTTAATACGTTATACAATGCGCACAACCATTATTTATCACCTTATCGTCTAATTCCGCTCGTATCGTTTTCACAGCGCTATTTTTCATCCTTACAGTTCGTAGTGCTCTCGACGGCTTTGTTAGTTTGAAGTGGACGCCCCAGTTCAGGGCGAAGGATAACACAGAACGTCAAGAGCACGGCTGCCCTGGATAACGTTGGTTAGATAAGCCGTACTTATTATCAGTGCGCTTTATCTTACAATAGTAAAAACTTTGTCATGCCTTGGTGTTTCATTGTGGTTTGGTTTATTCCTAAGAATAAGTTTTGAGGACTCCGCGGCGATGTTGCCGAGGTATTGGCTTCGACGTCATGGGTCGTGGGTTCGATTCCAACAAGCAGTGCCGGATTAAGCAAGTGCAGGCCCCGTGGCAAATTCTTTCAAGTAGTCCCTGATCTGCAGTGGGTTCTTAAGTATAAATTGGTAAAAAAAACACTGAATACACTTATTTATTTAATAAGTTTCACTCAAAAAATTAAGGCTCGGGCAGAAACACATCTCTGGTCTGGATTTAAATATGCGGGGCCCCTTTTGACGCGGAGCCCGTAGCAATTGCTTCTCTTAATACGAGGTTAATCCGGCACTGCTCACAGGGACAAAACAGTATTAGTGTGACCTATAAATAATTGTTTCGCATCTGGGTATTTGTCCACGTGAAATTTAGTAAAACGTCCTTTCAACACATAGATAATGTTATCCTAAAGTAAGCGCAATGCTTAAAAATAATATATTTATATATAGCATTCTCGACTCGAGATGTGACGATGAAATATGAAATGATGGAATTTTTTTTAAAACCTATGAAAAAAACGCTTCAATTTTTTTTATTTTTTGAATTGAAAATATTTTTAACACCGAAATTGACACAGTGATCTTCCAAATTTATTTTTTGAATACGGCTACCACGAACACACGTCTAAGACTAATTGCCATTGATCATAAAAAATACAAAATTAAAAAAATCATAATTAAAAGAAATAATTTTCAAACAAATTAATTAAATAAAAAAGAAACAAAATTTGTAACACCTATATAGCTACAACTGACTGATTCATATTTTCAGAGATTATATTCATTCGTTACCACAGCGTCGCAAGTCTCTCCTTCTAACAGTATGTTTTATCTCTTTTAAATTCATTCAACCCATTCATATGCTTTGTGACCTTTACAAATGAACTTTACGTTACAGTTGTATACGTAAGGGTTTTCTAAAATTGTTTGTTTTGGAAAGTTTAATAACTCGGTGAATATAGATGTTTAAAGAATGTAAATGTTTAATACAATTTTAAAAAGTTATCCTCTATAATATGTGTGTTCATTTATTGTCGCGGTTGTAACGACACGCTGTATATCATAATAAATTTATAAATTTTGAATCCCTCCTAGGTTTGTACGAGTAAAGCGCTAATTTTCTGAATATACATATCATATATTCAGATGTATCAAAAACTTCATCCTTCTCTGGAAATAATGTTGAGCCGAATCCTCATGACACTAAACTGTGTAATGGTTCACATATGGTTGAATGTTGTTCAAGGCCTTGACTTTTCATGTTTCTCTTGCCGTTTGTTTTCATTCCATTAGTGTAGCGAACGCTACAAAGCGCTCTTCCAAATGGCGTCTGAGATCACTGAAACTTGTTTTCATTCGGCCCTCAATTTCCCATGCCTATAAACCTTGTTTTGAACGGTGCTCCGTTGTTGGAAAGCGGCCAAAGATCTTTCGAATCACCCCGCAGTGGAAAGGGAAACTTCGGCTTAAATCGTAAATTTATTTAACGGAATTTTCTAGAAAGAAACGTTTCGACTGTTTTGTTTTTTTATTTGAGCAAATATTATTCCGTCAATAGCTGTTAAGCCTCAAAATTGAGCGGATCCATTTTTTCTGTGACCCCGTAAATTCTCTCTTATCTTAGTTATTGCCTTAATTGCTCCGAAAGTGGGAGGACACGCCGGCATGCTGGTTCTGACTCATTGCTTCGGGCAATACTTCTCGTATCGATCGAAAAAAGCGTTTATTTTCCATAGAGTCTCGGAATTATCCTCTTCCGGTGCCAATGCACCTAAACTTTCTTCTCGTATTATGTTGATTCGGAATAACTCTGCTTCTATGCCAATGTTATATTGATTAATAAACACACGATACTTAGTCACTTCAGCGCGAGTCCTATCTTGGAGTTGCCTGAGTTACCACTAATAGCTAACAAGAGCTCGTTAACGTTTATGGGAGAAGGTCTAGACTTGTTATATCATGGCGAAATGTAAATATCCAAAGGTAGTGAACAAGAAGCAAATAGAGTCAAATATTTTTACTTTCCTGTGCAAAAATGTGATAAAAAAATAATAACATCAATTAAATACCATTCTTATCCCATATAACTGCTTTTTTGGATCTGTGTAGCTGTTTATATCTAAAGTATTCGAGA